AAATATTTGTATTTTGCTATGCTTTTCTTGTTCCCCTGGAACGTGGGATAGCGGAGCTATGGAAACAATGAGTGTGAGATGGGTGGAGGCGACTGGTCGCCTGGCTAAAGATTAAAATGCCATGCAACATGCAGTCAATCCGAATGTTTTCACGTCGTATAAACATAGTAGTCTTGTTATTTCCTCACTCAAAAAATACGAAACCCGACGTCATTATATTTTTGTGAAATATACGAAAACAAACGTTCCTTCTCAAAATACATGATAATAAGTGGGTTGTTGCAATCTGATTATTATGCATTTGTTAATCGCCTGCCGTTCTAAAGATGGGAGTATATTTCCCTTAATGCGTTGTTAAACCTGTGAGTTTCTATGTGCTTTTGTGCAAGTTTGTTTTGCACAGCGCCCGGGCCGGAGGGACTAGTGAGAAAGTAGGCGATGTCCTCGCCCCTTGCACGTCAGCCCCGTGTATCCATCTGTCATAGATGTCCGTCTTAAACGGACAAAAAGACCACTTCGACCGTTCATAATTTCCCTATCAGCACGGATATAAATAACATATCATGTTGGCAAATATTAGGACAAAGTAATCCAGTGTCAGAAATGGGTTTAATTAGTTAAAGTAAATGTTGCATATTGAGCGAATTTGAAGCACGAGATTTTGATATTTAAGTACTGCTATAGTAGTTTTTAAATAATAGACATGGGTAGTCTGCGCTTGTGTTTTTTTTATGCATTTTGTTTCATTTTTGTTTCATATTAAATCCTATTAGCTTAATCTCATATATAACAAGACAAAATCTTAATTCTACCAAGTATCATTTTCGTGCACTGTAACTACTTTTATGCTGTAACTGTAACAGTGTTTCATTGAAATTGTCAAGCTGGAGAAGAAGGGCCCCACCTTATTTGGATGACTGTAGTCATGGATTTGAAGGATGGAGAAATGTAATCGCTGGAGTCGTGTAATCATATCCCATTAGTGTTTTGCAATGATGTTCTCCTTCCATGAGTCATTATCCTCTGATTGAGCCTCTTGGTCTGTGGTGGCAACTCCAGAGGGAGGGACATGGGGTGGTGGTGATGTTGTCCAAAGAGGAAATGTGAAATGATAGTTTCATCACTTGCAGAAAACTTCATTCTGTGACTGAGATCCCTCAGGACCAATGAAGTGGTGGTGTTAGGGGTGGCTGGAGGGGGGGTACCTGTAGTTGTGGAGGGGTCTGCCTTCGGGGGGGGGGGGACTGTGCCCCTTGACTGGTTTGGCCACTGTTGTTTCTGTCACATGAGGAACCCATAATGACGAATTCAGATTATCTAGATACACAGCGTAGCCACAGTCATAAGCAGGAACTACCAAATGAGATGAAAACTTAACTACTAAGATTAAAAACCTTTCTTTGTTTGTTATGATATTTACATGTAGTCAATGAAGCAATGGTCAGATCCATTGTGGAAGCTTCCATTGGACACCAGGTCCGGATGTTTCTGAATGCTTTTTCTATTTGCTTTCCTTTGCAGGTAAATCATCCATGTTCAAAAATATGTGGTATTTTATATAGAACTCCTTACCCTAGAATGACATATCAAAGAGAAACAGGAAACATGTACACTGGATAACTGAAAGCGTAGCTGTCAGACCCGTATTTATCGTATTTTCTTAGCATGCAGTCGGTATATTTGGCTTCTCAGCAGAGGCAGCTGGTCCATCGAGGTAGAGGAAGTAGTAACTCTTCTATTTTTGTGACTGAGTTAAGAAATGAGTAACTTTGAAGCAACTCATTACTGCAGTTTTGTTATTTATAAACACAGTTTATCGTAAAACTGTCTTCTTGCGTTCATCGTCCACCAGCCGTCACTGCATTTCCTTTTTTTCTGACAGTGACGGTGCTGCTGACATCAGCTTCCTCTCTACCGTTGCGTTGGTCTCTCATGCTACCAATCATGTCGCGTGGGAAAGATATTTGTCCAGATCGGCTGCTGACGGCTTTTTCTTTGCCGGTACGCGCGTCACATCTGGGCCGGCTGACGCGCTCCGCGTGGACCCCAGAGCACAGGAGGCCCCCGCCAGCGTGTGACTGCTGTCGGGAGCCTACAAAGGCACATCCTCGTACAAAGCCTTTGTTGCTCGTCTGGCTGTCGGCCTTCTCCTGGGTATGTAGCGAGAGGAAGGAGCAAGAGGAGGGAGAAGCAAAGTGGGAACCGAATGGTGTTTGCTGCAGACAAGCTGGGGCACGAGGGCAGAGCAGCGAGGAAGAAAATCGACCCCGTTTTTGGACCGTTTCGGGATTGTGGGGAGGCTGTGCGTAGATGTGGCGGCGGTGCCTTCTGTGTGAGCCGTTGCCGTTGCCCCTCCGGGCCAATAGCTTTGACCAGAGCCTTGCTGATCAGATCCTTCAGGGCCCGAAGATTTCTGTTAATTCTGCCTGTGGACACTGTTAACCGCCCTTCAGTTCGGCTGTGGTTTTTGGAGCCGCTTAGTCATATGTTCCAGTGTGCATGGGACCCGGTGGGTGTGGGGTTTAGTGTCAATAAGCGGGAAGCTCCCAGCTCCAGCTCGCTTTAGCAGTAATAGAAGCAGCTGTGTAGCAACCCGCTATTTATCAGTCCCCTGTATTGTAGTGGGGTTATTGACATCAGGTCCTGTCTGTTATTGTGCATCTGATTAATTTTAGACGGTGAGAGAGGTGTGGACCTCAAGTCAGTCCCAGTTAGATGGTGAGAGAGGTGTGGACCTCAAATCAGTCCCAGTTAGATGGTGAGAGAGGTGTGGACCTCAAGTCAGTCCCAGTTAGACGGTGAGAGAGGTGTGGACCTCAAATCAGTCCCACTTAGATGGTGAGAGAGGTTCCAACCCCAAACCCGTCCCAGTTAGATGGTGAGAGAGGTGTGGACCTCAAATCAGTCCCACTTAGACGGTGAGAGAGGTTCCAACCTCAAACCTGTCCCAGTTAGATGGTGAGTGAGGTGTGCACCAACTTTTAGACAGTGATAGTGGTCCTTGTTTGCTTTGGCTCAATGTCAGATATGAGGGAGGGGGAGGCAGGTGAACACAGCCACCACTTCTCCTAGAATTCGCACTTAAGCACATGTCTTTGGGTTGCCGCCCTGCACCGAAACGTCCTGCTGTTTAGATACTTCAGCAAAGACCCACAGCTGCTTCCTTCCCTAGCCTCTGTTTGCTTCCTCAAAAGCAGCTTCCAGCCTCGCATCCAGCCCTGGACGCTCTTGGGCTGGTCGCATCTGTTTATCCAATCAGACTTAGCACCATTAGGAGTACAATTCCTGTGTAGAAGTTGGGATGCATGTTAAATTAAAATTAAATGTGAAAACAGTGATTTGTAAATTGTCTTTGCCCTGTATTATATTTAAATCAATACAACAGCACATTGTTTGAAGTTTTACCTCAGGAATTTTATTGTTTTTTCAAAATAAGCACATTTTTATTTTAGGTCTTGCCAAAAAAGCATTTACCATATTGTAATGTTGCCATTCCTTTCACAACACCAAAAAGATGTTTAGGACCAAAGACATTAAGTGATGACGCATTTCAGGTGTAATTTTGTCCCATTATTCCTGCCAACAGGTCTTAAGGTGCGCAGCAGTACAGAGTCTTCATTGTCACATTTTGCATTTTAAATTGCACCACATTCTCTACTGGGGTCTGGTCAGGACTTTTTAGCATTAATGGGGCTATCACCGAAGTGTGGCCCTAAATTTATCACCAGAGTGTGGCCCTCAATTGCCCCATCCCAACTTTTTTTGAATGTAGACTTACAAATGAAATAAAACTGACCAGACAAAACATGGAATATCTTGTGTTCATGCTGTCTGTGAAACTTTGAAATCACTGCTTTCGTTTTTAATTTGCATTCTGGAAACTCTGGAAGAGAAAATGGAAGAGAAAATAGAAAGTAAGGGACCGGTCAAGAGCTGCCGCCCAGTTAGGAAGTTTAGAGAAGGTAGTTACTGAAAAGCCTGACTTGATTACATTTCACCCTGTTGGACTATTTTGGGCGAGGTCACAATGGGGTGTTCCACACGTCCGCATTTTACCAGATCGTGCTCCTTACAGTATACAGTACCGCAGCCGAGAAAGGAAACCTGCAGATACGGACACTAACTCAACCCTTGTTAACATCCACTGAAGCTCCCCTCCCTGGTTTCTCGTTAGTAGCAAAATGAAACCAAACTTTAGCATTGTTACTGCCGTTATGTCCCTTTCTTAGAAGCCGCACTTCAGGCCAGAACAATTGGTTCTGTTCTTGTACTTAAACATGGCCAGACTGCGTAAGTGATTCTTAGAACATCTCACAAGGCCGTCATGCTCTCATTTTACCGTGGCAGTCGCTGACCGTGACCTTCTTGGTTGTTATTAACTGTGTGGTGAACTGTAAAGTCACTTGGGATGTGAGCATCTGCTGAACGGATAAATATTAATAACTACTTGTCCTGTGCAGGTTTGTTGTGAGTCTGGAGCTCAGTCCAGGAGTATGTTGGTTCATGGTAGGGAATGCACTCATGGACTCGACCACAAGACAAGGGCAATTACAGAGACTAATTCACATAACTGGGAGGGAGATGACCTGCGGGACATATGAGGAGACCATGCAAATTGCCCACACAGAACCAGGGGTTAAAATCAAGATGGCCGTCCTAGACGTGTGGCAACAGTAACTCGTCACTAACCCCCCCATCCACCACAAACTGCTGTTAAATTTGCATCAAATGAGTGTGAACATTACCTTCTGGGAGCTCGAAATCAATTTCAGTGTCAGTAATCCAGGGAACAATGTTCTTATTCATCTACATCGTTCAGAGGCAAGGAAGACGTGAGCCAAAATGCATTATGCTAACCCTCGGCACATGCTGGAGCAAGGGACTGAAACTACCGTCAGGTATAAGAAGGTTTTAAAAGGTCAGAAGCAGAAAGGATCGTCTGGAGGATGAAAGTGAAAGACAGAAGTGTGCATGAGGCATAGCAGCAAAAGAAGGGCAGAGCTGGGTGCACGTCTGGCAACTGCCAGGAAGTCAGAAGGTTCCGGCAAAGCAAGCAGCTAAGGCTAGACAGGAAACGACGCAGATATAAAAGTTATGGCTTATTAAAGGGAGTAACATTCAAGAGAAAAAACTAACGTCAAAATGACTGCGACTGGGGACAGAAATAATTGTGGTAGGTCTTGCTTTTAATTTTTCAGCTTGTACCTGGCCGATATGTGTGCAGTGTACGTAATAGAGAACTGCATTATCGCTCTTTGTCTCTGTTGGGGAAGGAAATGGCGTAAACCTGAAGGAGCGAAAGGAATACACACCGCGAGACAACTCGCAAAACTCCAGTGCGTGAATTCAGTATTGTCCACAAAATAGAGTATATTCTTTATTACTCTTATCTAATGGCTGAATGGATTTACTGAAGGGAGAGATGTAGTGTAGCCATTTATATGGATGAGATGTGAGTCATGTATAATTATTTTTTAAAGTTGCAGTTGTACCTGGAAATTCTAGGGCCCCTGACAAAATGTCATCTTGCCCCCCCCCCCCCCCAATTTTACATATAATGGATGCTGGTTGCTGCTAAAATATGCAATAAAAAATTTAGGAAGTTATGCCAATGTGTTATTTCACAGCTAACTTGCCAAAGAAAACTTGACGTTCAGCTGTTAGATTTTCATTGCACTAATTTCTGAGGTGACTTTTGCACATAGTATAAGATACAAAGTTTATTTTTAGAATGTCGATTTTTGAAGAAATGGGCCTTTACGTATTAGCGCTGGATTCATTTTGAAAGAAAACCCTGTTTTTGGCAAAAAAAAAATATTGTCATAGTTAGGTTTTTAAAAAAGTTTACATGTTGGTTTAATTTAGATCCTTCTGTGCTCAAGAACTGTAGGGCCATATCTAAACTCCCATTTTTATAAAAAAATTCTAGAAAAGGTTGTCAAGCAACTCACGACTGGTAGAAGTTTTACGGTCTCTGTTGTGGTCTCTCTCTGTGTCTGCTACCTCACTGCTGTTTTGTGGTCTTCCACAAGGTTCAGCTTTGGGGCATACCTTATTTGATGCCGAGGGGGCAGATTTTAAATATCACTTTTACGTAGATGACATACAACTTAACTTTACCTTCAAGCCCAATGAGGCTCCTGGGCTCTCTTTGCCTTTAGATTGCCGGAACGCCATTAAACACTGGACGACTGGAAATTTTCTACAGTTAAATGCAGAGAAGATTGAGGTCTTAATTTGTTGCCCCAGACAGCTTTGTTCCTGTAATTAAACACAACATTGGTCCTCTTTCCTCTGCTGTCCAATCAAACCTACAAAATTTAGGGGTGATATTTGACGAGTCCCTGTCATTTGACACTCCTGTCAAACAGTTGTCGAGATCCTGTTTCTTCCACCTGCGTAATATTAGTAAACTGAGATCTATGGCTTCTTATATGAATCTGGAGATGCTTTTGCGTGCTTTTATTTCATCTTGCATTTATTATTGCAATGCACTCTTTTATACCCTCAAATAAGTCTGTCCTCCCTCGTTGCCAGTCAATTCAAGGCCTGAGGGAGGCTTAGCTCCTTTCACTGGGTCCCCATGTCCTATAGAATTCAGTTTGAAATCCTCGCAATTACACACAGAGCACTGCATGGTCAGCCCCCTGCATATTTGACAGATTTCATTCATTCCCACTCATCGGGACATTCCCGCAGGTCCAACAATCAAAACCTTCTCTCTGTCCCGCGCACTCGTCTACAGACTTGCGGTGATCGAGCACGTGAGGCTGTCGCTCCTAAATTGCGGAATGCCCTGCCCACCCATCTTAGGTTCGCAGACTCTCTGGATTCTTTTAAAAGGCAGCTGAAGACCTACTTATTTAGACATTTGGCTAGACTCTTAAATCCTTATAATTTTTATTCCTTTTATTTTTCTTATTTTTCTTACTGTTTTATTGTACATTTCATTGTTTTATTATTCTTTTTATTTATATCTCATTGCTTTGTTTTCTTTTTTTCAAATCCCCAGTTTTCTTATTTGCTGTTGTAAAGCACTTTGTAACCAGTGTCTGTGAAAAGTGCTATAATATAAATAGACTTTACTAACTTATTACTTGTGAAGCTCAAGAAAGCAGTTAAGCCCAGTGTTTATGGTCAGTAACAGACAGGTTTGTCATTACATCATCCGTTCTTATAGAAAGGTGATATATCTGAGGCATAGTGATGTTGGGTTTGGGCTACACTGTAGTGTTTTTCTAACTTTTATGACCTGTACTGTTTGTAATTTTGTATCAAATAAATAGCGGCAGCACGGTAGATCGGTGACTAGTGCCGTGGGGCTCACACTTCCAGGGTTGGGGTTTTGAGTCCTGTCTGCGTGTGTGAAGCTCGCACGTACTGCCCATGTGCGAGTGTGTCTGCTCTCTGGAGACATACTAATCGTATGTGATTGAGTGCGTGTGCTATGTTAGGCTGACATCATGTCCAGGGTGTTCCCTGCCCTGTGTCCCCTGGTTCCTGCAGGGGACACAGGACAGTACAGGGCTTGCCATCACCCTGTACTGGGTAAGCGGTTATGAAAGATGAAGGATAATATGAAATTACATCTGCTCTAAGCATTATTAGCAAAACTATTGACTCTGCACACATCAGCAGTTTTGTGCTTGTGTTTTGGGCTGTTTGTGTGCTGTTTTGGTCACAGAAGGGCTGTGCAAGCTTCCATTAAGGCGTTAAGCTGCACATGGTGCCCTGCTACCTCCATCTGTTTCCTGTGGCTTCTGGGAATGGAGATGGAGCGTACTGCACCGGTGGAGTGGCAGGGGAGCACACAGGCAGCCCAACCCTGGCAGAGTGCCCCTCGCATGGGCATACGGGTGCTGATAGCCCGTGGGTGTGGCATTCACATGGCCCACCTGGCAGAGTGCCCCTCGCATGGGCATACGGGTGCTGATAGCCCGTGGGTGTGGCATTCACATGGCCCACCTGGCAGAGTGCCCCTAGCATGGGCATACAGGTGCTGATAGCCCGTGAGCGTGGCATTCACATAGCTTACCTGGCAGAATGCCCCTTGCATGGGCATACGGGTGCTGATAGCCCGTGAGCGTGGCATTCACATGGCCCACCTGGCAGAGTGCCCCTAGCATGGGCATACAGGTGCTGATAGCCCGTGGGCGTGACATTCACATAGCTCACCTGGCAGAATGCCCCTTGCATGGGCATACAGGTGCTGATAGCCCATGGGCGTGGCATTCACATGGCCCACCTGGCAGACTGCCCCTTGCATGGGCATACGGGTGCTGATTAGGGATGGCACCGTTCATGAAAAAAAACCGAACCGTTCCGTTCGCTTGTCTCAGTTCGGAGCATGCATGCGTGGCACGGTTCGACGGTTCATGACATGCGCAATGTAGCCTCGTGCCCCGTATGTGACGTCAGTATGTTTCGCTTTCGCGCGAAAGAATAGGCTATATGCACAGAGCGGTGTGACGTAGTTCCGGTAAAAGTTCAGCCAGCTAAGTAATTTCCGGTAGCCTTTCGTTTGCTGCGTTTAGCTCGTGTTTTCGGCGTTACCACCCTGTCTCTGAAGAAAACGTTTAAATTTCAGCCAACCGATAACACAACATCTGAACACTGTTGTGCGCCTTTGTTGTGTGACTTTATTTAATGTGAGGTTAGGCACTTTGTTAAAGAAAATTAAGTTATCTGTGACAAAGCACTCCAGTGAGTGTCATGCCTCGATCGTCCGCGCTTTCCGTGTGCCACGCCCCCTCGTTAACCCTGTGTGGATTCCCCGTGTTTACCAGCTGTTCCTGATTGTTGTCAAATTTGTCATTACTCCATTGTATTTAGTCCGCGTTTCCGTTTCTTTCTCCAGTCCGGTCATTATATTGTAATTCTGCTTTACCGCTCGTCTGTGTTCCTTTTGCTCATTAAACCCCGCATTCCCCCGATCCTAGGTCTCCTCGCCTCTGCTTCCCCGGTCAGCGTTGTAACAGTGAGCCTGCTTCCATGCTGCAATGTGAACATTTGCCATGTTCCTAAAAATTCTGTTTATTGCACAGTGTCTGACCACACAGACCTACAGCTAGGCTATTGCCAGATCATCATACTAGACATATCAACTGGACATATTTTGCACTATTACAGGTTGATGTCTTGTACATACACAGAAACTGATTTTATCGATTACTCAAGAACATTCAATATAATTAATACCAATTTTTTTCATTTCGGTTCGTTATATATATATATATATATATATATATATATATATATATAACGAACCGAATCAGGCTTAATCAAGATAGGTGATCTATCATTTTAACGATCCCCAATTAAATTAACCCCGTGGACCGGACAAATACAAAACGAATGATTAAACATTATATGCCTCTCTTTTTGTATGTTTTCTAAATAAGACCGCGTGCCCATACCCAACTGTAATAGCGATTAAAGCGATCTATTGTTTTAGCATTTATGTTAAGGCAAGACTTTTATTTTATTACTGTTCTGGGATTAATAATGTTTAATAATTTTAATAATGTGCTTTAAGTCAAGTCAAATTCAGTTTATGCATGATTACATGATATAACTTTTTTTAATACTGTATCCTAAATTGTGAATAATTAAGCTATATATCATATGCTGAAGTACATTTCTTGAGTGTTAAAGATTAAAAGAAAAAATAACAAGAACCGTACAGAACCGAAAACCGTGACCCTAAAACCGTGATACAAACCGAACCGTGGGTTTTGTGAACCGTGCCACCCCTAGTGCTGATAGCCCATGGGCGTGGCATTCACATGGCCCACCTGGCAGAGTGCCCCTTGCATGGGCATATGGGTGCTGATAGCCCATGGGCGTGGCATTCACATGGCCCACCTGGCAGAGTGCCCCTTGCATGGGCATATGGGTGCTGATAGCCCATGGGCGTGGCATTCACATGGCCCACCTGGCAGAGTGCCCCTTGCATGGGCATATGGGTGCTGATAGCCCATGGGCGTGACATTCACATGGCCTACCTGGCAGAGTGCCCCTTGCATGGGCATACGGGTGCTGATAGCCTGTGGGCATGGCATTCACACAGCCCACCTGGCAGAGCGTTTCATGCCAGCACTTTGCTGTTGTTATGCCTGTGTGAGTTGGCACGCTTATGCGGCGGTGGTGCAGCTGTGTCCCTGTGCTTGGGTTACTGTTTGTAATTTGTTTTCACACTTCAAAGCCTTGCGTGTCTCTGTGAGACACATGCAGGGGTGCTTAAATGCACAGGTGTACCCGTGCCAAAGCTCAGGGGCCTAACCTCGGTTAATAAAATTGTAAACCTCGAGTTGCCATCTGATCCGTATTTTCCAGGATGCTGCATCCCATCTTTGAACCAATCAGGGACACGATTGAAACCAAAATGCAATGTTTATCGTTGGAGAACCACCCCCCCCCAGGCGACACCCGCCAACTACACCATCGTAGAAAATCACAGGGGGGGGGGGGCACTCAAATATCCCAGTGGCCTCTGCCCATGTTAACCTGCCTCTGGACACACCTTTCTGTTTCCTGTCACCACAGGGGAACCTCGGAAGTTTGACCCAACATTTAAAGGCCCTGTTTATAACAGGTAAGATTTTTCATTTACTGCCTTGTGGACGCCAACATATACGTCCTGGTAGTTTGTGACTGCTTTGGGTTCTATGTTCACAGTGCATATCATGATTCTATTCATCATGTTTCCCACAATGAATTTAATGAATATCTCAACAAAAGACCAATAGTTCTTGTTGGAACCTTTTCTGGTCTGTTCAAAGCTCTGGTCTCTACACAGTAGCACAATGGTTAGCACTGTTGTTTCATACCTTTGGAGACCAGCCCCAGCTCTGCCTGTGTGGAGTCTGCATGTTCTTCCCATGTCGTTATTGGGTTTCTTTTGGGTATTCCTGTTACCCCCCCCCCCCCCCACCGGGGGGGGGGGGGCCCGCGGGGGGGGGGGGGCCCGGGGGGGGGGGGGGGGGGGGGGGGGG